AGCAAAGAATTTTTCCATTCAACTCTTGCCAGCTGAGAATGTTGGGAATGTCAGGCATTTTCTCCTACCACTTCCCTCTTTGTTGGAATCCTAATGGCCGCTGGGCATGTTTTGGCTTCTGCCCCTGACTCTCCACGCTCCGTGGGAGGGTGAGGGTTTCTGACTGTGCCCTGGTCCTGAGACTGGCCGGAGCTCCGTGTTGGTGCGTGTGGCTGCGTCACTGCCATCCACAGGGGCAGCGTGTTCTCTGAAACGTCACAGCACATAGCCAACCCCTGCTCGCCCCAGGCCCCGGGGCAGAGGATGTGGAAGCAGAGCCCCGAGGGAGCCTGTGTGGGCTGGCGCACAGAGCCCCCCATTCTTGACACGAGACACTGTGCTGCTGTGGAATTTCTGATGCCACATACCTGCCTTTAAGGAATTTTGCCTCAAGCATACTGGGTGGTCTGGGGAGTTAGGAGGTTTCCTGGAATAATACCTTTCACTGTGCTGCTGAGTAGAGTGTGTGTGTGTGTGTGTGTGTGTGTGTGTGTGTGTACATACATGTGTGTCCACACAAGGCAGGAAGAAGGGAGGCTTGTGTTACAGGTCAGATATTCAACAGGATCAGGAGCCGGGCCAGGGGAGTAGGTTCCATCCGGAAGCCTGTCGTTCCTCAGCCTGGAGTGTTGTCATAGACTCCCAGAGCCGGGGAAAGACCTTACTATGGTTACCAACCTCACTCCGCCCACCCCCATTTGACAAAATAGGAGAACCAGTGTTCTTCAGTCTCATTCTCTTCACTGGGCCCCTAAGGTGGGTTCTGAGCACGGTAGGTCCCTCCCAAAACCAAAAACCAAACGCACTGCTGTCCGGTTGATTCCAACTCATAGTGACCCTGTAGGACAGAGTAGAACTGCCCTGTAGGGTTTCCCAGGCTGTCATCTTTATGGGAGCAGACTGCCACCTGGTTCTCCCTCGGAGCGGCTGGTGGATTTGAACTGCCAATCTTTTGGTTAGCAGCCGAGCTCTTAACCACTGTGCCAGCAGGGCTCCATAGGAGGTCCCCAGATGTTAATAAACATTACTTGAAAAAAGTAATAATAATAAAAAAAGGAAATTCTGAGTTAAAACTAAAATAGATAGGTTTCTTTACTATAGAAATTTCCAGAGCCTTTAATTTACTAATAGTTCTTTGGAAACCTACAGAAGAGCTTATTACATGCAGTGTTTCTCAAAATTATTTGGCCAGGAAACCTCTTTTCCAAAAAACATGTCCCAGGCCCAGGGTTCTACTGGGGAGATACCACTCTGCCTTCTTGCCTTAGACGCCATTTAAAATTCTTTGAAAACTTGCGTTTAATTGCTGCCCAATATGTGACTAGGCCAAAGTTTGTTTCCCTTACCCGATTGTTAGACATTGAAGTTGTTCCCAACTTCTCAGCATAAATAATAATTCTAGAATAAATCTGGTTAGTCTGTGACCGTCTCTGATTATTCCTTTAAGAAGCAGAATTGTTGAGTCAAAGTGTATGAACATTTTTCAAGACTTTGGAAGTACAGCCACCAGTTGCTTCCCAGAAAGGTTGTACCCATTTATCCTTCCAGTTGCTGGAGGTGGTGGCAAGGCTGGCATCCATCTGTGAGCGCTGAGAAGCCTAAGCGGCTCTGAGTGCTCAGAGGAGGCCATTCCCTTGCCCTGGACCATGCAGACAGCTAGCAGTTAAAAAACAATCACACACACGAAGGACACACCCAGCTATTTCTTTTTCTTTTTCTTTTTTTTTTTATCAGGGGAGGCAAATGAGCTTTTCACAATTCCCTGGGTTTCTTCTAAGTAATTAAATGGCATCTGAGAGTTATCTGAACACTTTTTTTTTTTTTAATTTGGTCTTGTGGATATTTTGTTGCACAGTTAGGGAGGAAGGGATTTTGAATTGGCATCTGTTATATGAATTTTCAAATAACCTTTCAAGGTGAGATTGAAAAAAGTAAGTAGTTATTTCATGCCCCTGTGATTGTGAATTTTATTTCTAGAAGAACCTTTTATGTGAGTGCTCATCGGACTTCGTTCCCCACAGTCATTGAATTATGTCCTGTTAAGTGTTAAGGCTGATGGCGATGCCTTTGCATTATATTTGTCCGGAGGAAGGTGTATACACTGAAGGCTAGAAGTGCTTTGTCTTTTTGTCCTTCACAAATATTATCCTTTGGTCGGTGCATTATCGGGTTTGGGAAACCGGATGTGAAATTTTAACTCATTAAAACCCCCAAGTCTCTGGCAGTAAAGTCTTTTAAATGGCTTCACCAACAGATTTATTTCAAAGTGATTCCATTTGGAGGAAGGAAATAATAAGTAATGCATCATATACAAAGATCCATTCAATAATTCATGAGACATGCACACCAGTGACCATTTTAGATTCAGTCTGTAGCCTTGGAGATGGAAATGACCTCTGTCATAGAATACGTCCACAATTTGCTACTTTTTGTGCTTGAGTCCACATGTGTCTTGACTTTGGGAAATAAATTTTGTGCTGACTCTTCTCCTTTGTGTGATTACCCGGATAGATGGAGGCTTATTTTTTAAAAGTGGACATTTTGTATAATTGAACTAGAAGGACACTTTGTACGCGTTCCCTAACCTTAGCAAAGCAGGAATGTTTCATGCGTGCATTGCTTTTTCCTCCCTTTGGGCAAGAATTCTGATTTGGTTTTCTACGTGTGGGTCGCCAGAGGGTGGCTTAAAAATATAGCTATCAATAATCCTAGCACACAGGCAGTGTTGGGCAGTCAGTGAGTGTGGAGGCACGCGTGCTGACCAGGCATGCATGTGTCCATGCAGTCAGTGAGTATGGAGACATGCGTGGTTACTTACATGAACATGTTCATGGGCAGACACACGGTGTCGGGCCGTGCGTAAGTATGGAGGCATGTGTGGTTACCTGTGTGTACATGGTCATGGGTAGACACATGCTGTTGGGCCGTCAATGAGTATGGAGGCACACGTGGTTCCCTATGTGTACATGTTCATGGGCAGACACACGGTGTCGGGCAGTCAGTGAGTATGGAGGTATGCATGGTGAACAGGCATGCATGTGTCCATGGGCAGACACGCGGTGTCGGACAGTCAGTGAGTATGCAGGCATGCGTGGTTACCTACGTGCACATGTTCAAGGGCAGACACACGGTGTCAGGTCGTCAGTGAGTATGGAGGCATGCGTGGTTACTTACGTGCATGTGTTCACGGGCAGACACACGGTGTCAGGTCGTCAGTGAGTATGGAGGCAAGCGTGGTGAACAGACATGCATGTGTTCACGGGCAGACACGCGGTGTCGGGCAGTCAGTGAGTATGGAGGCACGTGTGGTGAGTGAGCACGCACGGGGCAGAGGAGAATGGCGGCTCATGGCCCTTTGCCGTATTCAGCCGTATTCTGCCTTTGCACAGTCCAGCTGTCGAACTACTCCGGTCATCCTGAGCTTCAACAGGCCCTTTACTTTTTCAGAACCACAGAGGCTCCAGTTCATTCCTCTTCAAGGGGGAGACTTGCACAGTGGGAAGTGGAATGGGGAAGGCTAGCCTGTTGCCCTCACACTGCTGTGTGATAAAAGGGAAACCTAGGGGACGGGTGTGTTCAAAACTTCCAAATATGATCATTTTAATTTGGCAAGTATTTACACAATGACAAATATTTTGTGAGAAATAAAAACGAACGACTTTTGGTTCTGTTGTTGGCTGGAGAAACTTCAGGATTCACCCTTCCTTCATTCCTGTTCCCTCCCTCAAACCAAACCCGTTGCAGTGGAGTGGATTCTGACTCACAGAGACCCTATAGGACAGAGTAGTACTTCCCCATAGCCTTGCCAAGGTTGTAGTCTTCACAGAAGCAGACTGCCACACCTTTCTCCTGCTTCCCTCCCCTACTCCCCAATATAAGTTGCTGAATTTTTTTTTTTACTTAAAAATGATTTTATGTAAAAATTAGCATAAAAATTTGTACAGTGTAAACTCTTATAAGGAAAATGTGAAAATCACTAGACATCTCACCATTAATATTTTGAAGAACATTATTTTATACCTGCACAACACACATTTACTTACATTTTATACAAATTATGATGTACTGCTAAGCTGCTTACAGACTAGTTTTTCATTTAATAATATGTCAAAGACAACTCTACCTATCAATCAAAATCCTTTTCATTTTAATAGTTGTGGAATATTCCATTATATACATATATCATGAATCAATTTCTGTGATACACCTTTAAGTTGTTTTCAGTTTTTGCTCCCATGTACAACATAAGAATGAGTATGCTTGTGTGTGTGATGACTACTCCGGTATGTATTCCTATAAATGGAATTGCTGGCTCAAAAGATGCACATGTCACCTTTTGGTATGTATTATAACAGTGGCTTTGAAAGATGGTATTAAAACACACTCCTATGTAGTGTATGAGAGTCCTCCCTTCCAGATCCCCACCAACACTGGATATTATAGGTCTTTTCAATATTTAATAAATTAATAAGTACCTTAATGTTGCTTTTATTTTTCATTTCTTTTATTACAATTGAACATGTTTTAAAATACTTGTTTTAAAAATATGTATTAAATATTATTAAAATATAAAATTTGTATTTCTTCCTGTGTGATTTATCTGTATATATTCTTTGTCCATTTTTCTGTTGAGCTGATTATCTTTTTCTTATTGACTGTCAGAACCCCTCCAAGATATTTTTTGATTAAAAAAAGAATGCAAATTGAGACAAAACAGTTCTCTAAAATCTGCATAAAGTATGTATCCTCAGAATAACTATCGATCTTGTTTGGGGATAAATGACTCTAGTGACCAGTAACACTGCTTTGTTAACATTTGGGATGAAGTGCATCTAGCGCCTCGTCATCTGGAGAATGTAATGGGGGACAGAGATGATGTGGGGTAAACACTGTATATTTAATTTGGGATTGCAGAAAATATGTTCACTTTGGCTCACATTCATCGTTGTTCTTGTAAACAGTTTCATTCACTGGCTCCCATGTACTATCGAGGGTCTGCTGCGGCTGTCATCGTATATGATATTACCAAACAGGTAAGAGCGCCCCTGGAGAGTTAAGATGCCATTTATGGTGATCCTGTGTTGGAGACATGTCAGTGCTTGAGTCTTCCCAGTAGCCTGCAATGAGGTCTCATAGTACGATGGTCAGGGAGAGTGAGCACTGTATACTGAGTTTATTTCCCCTATTTGTAATGAAGCATCTCAGGATTATGTGCTGAAGTAAATAATGACCATTATTTTTAAAATCAACTGTCTATGTGTAGAGGCAAGGCCGCATCTGCTAGTGCTAGTCTCAGGAATGTCAGGTTTTTAAGAAAAGGAAAATTATTCTTAAGTTTTGCATGTTTTATAATCATAAAGTATTTACTTTCTATTTGTGTTTCAATCATTCTGCTTAAAACGCCAAGGGTAGTGTTTGTGTGTATACGGATAGGCATGATGTGTGTGATCGTGTGTACACTGTATGAATGTATTTTTAGGTTGTCAGATTGAGGCTCTAGGATACCCACCGACAGATAACTGCCGTGGTTTGCTGACACTCTTTTTCCCACCCATGCAAACTGAATTAACTTTTTGCTTGGGAATGCTGACTGCACAAGCCAATTAGTTTAACGACCCACACTATTACCATTCATGAGTTCTAACCTCTTCTACCTAAATGCAGTGTATGCTTTGGCTCGTTTCTCGAAGTAAGGTTGCGAGTGAAGGGCAGAAAGGAAAACAGGACTTGAAAGTGTGTGTGGGTGTGTGTGGGGGTGTGTGTGTGTGTGTGTGTGTGTAACAGGAACGTTCTCTTAGTCCTGTTGTCTTCATATGTGGAATCAAGGCTATAATTGTAAATTAATGTTATTTATAGAAGAAAACTAATATGATTGTCTTAACTTGCTCAAGTTTTAATTTTAGAAAAGGAATATTTTATAGGTTATTTAAGTATAATTTAGGAGCCCTGGTGCAATAGTGGTTATACGCTCGGCTGCTAACCGAAAGGTCGGCAGTTCAAACCCACCAGCCACTCTACAGGAGAAAGATGTGGCAGTCTGCTTCCATATTTATAGCCTCGGAAGCCCTGTGGGGCAGTTCTACTCTGTCCTGTAGTGTCACTATGAGTCAGAATCGACTCGATGACAACAGGTGGTGAATTGAAGTATGACTTAGCTCATGTTAAATTTTATGCCAACGTAGTGGTGGTATGTTAATCTAAACGAATCTCCTGGAAATCTATTTCTCCACTAAATTATATTCATTTTGTGTTTCTACTTGGTTGAAATATTATACTGACTGGTCTTTCCAATAATTCATTTACACTTTTGATTTAGGATTCATTTCATACGTTGAAGAAATGGGTTAAGGAACTGAAAGAACATGGTCCAGAAAACATTGTAATGGCTATTGCTGGAAACAAATGTGACCTCTCAGATATTCGGTAAGATGCACTGTAAACATTCTCACGTGTCGCTGTCCTCCATCCCTGAAGTCTGTGTATGAAAAGCTGTTGTGCCTGTGTCATTAAGTCTGCTCTCATTGTAATAACTGAACAGATAACCATTCACTTGTGCTAGTCAGTCAGCATTACATTTATTAAACCAAAGTAAAATTAAGGGAAAATGGTAGGGAAACGCAAATTCCCTATCCATAAAGTAATAAAGATTAAAATCAAATCATAACAGACTTATGGGCTAGATTGCTTTATTGTTTTTATTGTTACTTTTTCCATAATTATTATCATATTGCTACTGTCATCATTTTAATAACACTTTCATATGGTAAGGAGATTTATAATTGTTAACATTTTCCATACGATCCCTGTTTGTGTTAGTTCTAGACTGTAACTTCAGGAGATATTCGGGTATCTATAATCTCACAATTTTGTTCTGAGATCTTCATGTTAGAGCAGTGACCCATTGGATATGAACACCTTGGCTGCCCCCAGAGACCCTGGATTGTTGAACTTCCTTTATTGGGAGAAAGGTTTGTAGGGACCCAATCCACATGGATTAGCTCTTTGATGATAGCTTTATCTCGCCTGATTAGCTGGCTCTTTTACTAAATAAATGTTATGAAAAAGGATATAGTGATTTTTGTGTTGTCTCCATGGTTAATTTCATTCTCAGTAATTCCAGTAGTCAATTTTCGTAAAGACAGCTACATCATGCTTTAGGTTTTGCTAATCCAAATACAATTAAACCACAGTTAACTAAGCAATGAAAATGGCTCTTGTAAAAATTCTTAACATGGCACTTGACAAATTGCTCTGTTTCTTTGGGATTTCAGAAGCTTTATATCAAATTGCATTATGTTGGTTTATAATAACATCGATAAACACCACATAAACATTTGTTTTTCTAGGGGCTGGACTTAATTCACATATCTACTTTCTTTACTGTAATCCTAAAACAGCTTGCTCATCTATTATTGCCAGCAGAATCGCTCCAACTTTTGTTGTTGGTGGGGGTGGGGTGAGAGGTAGCCTGCGCTTGCTGAGAGAAGGCTGTATCATCTAACACTATCTAATTGCAGTAAAGGTGCACCTTCAAGTGGACTTAAGCCTTGTGTATTTTGGGAGTGCTGATGTACTAGACTTTAAGCAGAAAATGATTTCAACTTGAATGGTGTTAGTTAGGACTCTTGGTTACATGAAACTGAAACCCAGTTGAAATTAACTTCAGCCAAAAGAATTAATCTGAAGGATAGTGGTATCCACATGATGTAAAACAGGACTGCTGTTAGTTTTAGTACATGATACGTTCTGGAGAGAGATTCAGAAACCCTGGTGGCATAGTGGTTAAGTGCTATAGCTGCTAACCAAAGGGTCGGCAGTTCGAATCCACCAGGTGCTCCTTGGAAACTCTGTGGGGCAGTTCTGCCCTGTCCCATTATAGGGTTGCTATGAGTCAGAATCGACTAGACAGCAATGGGTTTCTGGTTTGGAGAGAGATTAACCTGCACAGAGGATTTTCCCCACCCTGTGACCAGGCATTTGTGGCCAAGGGCCTGGGTTTGGGTAGGACAAGATGATTTTCCCCACCAGAACCGTGAGAATGGGAGGGTGGGACAGTCTTGTCCTAGAAAAGCTCAGCCTGACCAGGCAAAACGTGTCTGGAACATGCTGGCCTGGCTACCAGCACCTGAAGACACCCCATTTCTCAGGGTGAGATTCACCTTTTATGCATCAGAACAGCATGCTCATCAGCCGTGCCCAGCTGATTCCTATTTATGCAGTTTGCAAAATGTCCCAGCTAACCTAATCCATCCCTCTCTCTTCTAGCCGTAAATTCACTACTCCCGCCACCCCCATCAGCCCCAATTCCAAGGTCACTTCCAGCTACTGTTTCCAGTGGTGATGCCATGTGGCCACTGTCCCGTGAGTCCAGGCTTTTTGGATAATATCATTTCTCTTCTAGTTTGGTGTTAAGATCCTGCAGTGGTGGTTTAAAGTACAGAATATGTATCTTTTGTTACACACAGAATTATTTTAGGTGGTGCTTGTTACTGAATTACACAGTGAAGAAATGACTCCGCTTGCAATTCTCCTGACCTCTGGTTAGGCCAATGAGAAGGCCTGTTGGACGCTAGTAAATTTTTTTATTTTTAATCATTTAATGTACAGTAAAACCTGCAAAAGCCAGAATCTGTATAAGGTGGAAACCCATCGGAGAAGGAAAAGCCACATATTTTCCACTAAATAGAGGGTGATAGAAAAGTGGCGACCGCACCCTGCCGAAGGCAGAACACTTGCAAGATCTGGAAAAACAAGGCAGACCCGTTGAGTTCTGGCTCTCACAGGTTTTGCTGTATTTATTGAGACATAATTTGCAAACCATAAAAGTCACCCATTTAAAGTGTGCAGTTCAATGAACTTTAGTACGTTTACAGAGTTGTACAGTCGTCACCACATCTAATTTTGGAACGTTTTGACCCCATGAGAGACCTCCTGCCCATTCACTGTCTGCCTTCCAACCCAGGCAGCCACCAGTCTACTTTTTGTCTGTATAGGTTTGCCTTTATCGGACATGTTGTATAAATGGAATCATATAATATGTGATCTTTTTCACTTTGCATGATATTTTTGAGGTTCATGCATGTTATAGCATGAATTAATACTTCATTCCTTTTTATTGCCGAATAATATTCCATTGTACGGATATGCCGCATTTTGTTTATCTCATTATCTGTTGATGGACATTTGGATTGTTTCCACTTTTTTGGCTATTATGAAAAATTCTGCTATGGACATTCATGTACAAATTTTGTGTCAGTATATGTTTTTATTTCTCTAGGGTATTTACCAAAGAGTGGATTCCTGGGTCATATGGTTAACAATTTGAGGAACTGCCAAACTGTTTTCCAGAGTGGCTGCACCATTTTCCGTACCCATCAGCAGTGTACCAGACCCACTGCAGTCGAGTCAGTTCCCACTGATAGCGACCCCACAGGGTTTCCAAGGCTGTAAATCTCTGTGAAAGCAGATGCCACATCTTTCTCCCGCAGAGCCACCGGTGATTTTGAACCACTCACCTTTCAGTTAGCAGTGGATTGCTCTAACCACTGAGAAATCAGGGCTCCTTCAGCAGTGTACAAGGGTTCCAATTTCTCCATATCCTCACTAACACTTATTATCTGTCTTTTTATTATAGTTATCCTAGTGGATGTGAAGTTGTATCTCATTGTGATTTTGATTTGCATTTTCCTAAAGACTAATGATGTTAAGCATCTTTGGGTTTGTGTTTATTGACCATCTGTATATCTTCTTGGGAGAAATGTATCTTCAAATACTTTGCCATTTTTTAATTATTTGTCTATATATTACTGAGTTGTAAGTTTTCTTTGTATATCATAGATACATGTTCCTTTCCAGATATTTGATTGGCAGATATTTTCTCCCACTCTGTGGCTTGTCTTTTCACTCTTTTGATTGTGCCTCTTGAAGTGCAAAAGCTTAATGTTCAATTTATCAGTTTTTTCCTTTTCTCTCTTGTATGCAAGTGATTGCTTACTCAAGATCACAAAGATTTCCTTCTGTGTTTTCTTTTAAAAGTTTTATAGTTTTAACGTTTACATTTAGGACTGTGATCAATTTTTGTGTATGATGTGAGGTATGGATCCAAATTCATCTTTTTGTATGTAGATATCTAATTGCCCCAGGACCATCTGTTGAAAAGACTGTTTCTTTCCTTTTGAATTTTCTTGGCACCTTTGTTGAAAATCCATCCATAAGCATAAAGCCTTACTCTGGGGCTCTTAATTCTATTCAGCTGGTCTACCCTTATGCCAATACCACACTGTAGTGGTAGTACAGGTGGGGATGGCAGTATAGGTGGGGTTAGTACAGGTCGTGGAGGCAATGTAGGAGGTAGGTGGGGATGGCAGTATGGGTGGGGTTAGTACAGTTCGTGGAGGCAGTGTAGGAGGTAGGTGGGGATGGCAGTATGGGTGGTGTTAGTACAGGTCATGGAGGCAGTGTAGGAGGTAGGTGGTGGCGGCAGTATAGGTGGTGGCGGCAGTATAGGTGGTGTTAGTACAGGTCGTGGAGGCAGTGTAGGAGGTAGGTGGTGGAGGTAGTATAGGTGGTGGCAGCAGTATAGGTGGTGGCGGCAGTATAGGTGGTGGCGGCAGTATAGGTGGTGTTAGTACAGGTCCTGGAGGCAGTGTAGGAGGTAGGTGGTGGCGGCAGTATCGGTGGTGGAGGCAGTACAGGTGGTGTTAGTACAGGTCGTGTAGGCAGTGTAGGAGGTAGGTGGTGGCGGCCGTGTAGGTGGTGGAGGCAGTATAGATGGTGGTGGCAGTATAGATGGTATAGGTGGTATAGTATTGATTACTGTAGCTTGGTAGTAAGTTTGAAATTGGGAATTGTAAGTCCTCCAACTTCGTTGTTCTTTTTCAAGATTATTTTGGTTATTCTGGGTCCCTTGCATTTCTATATCAATTTTAGGATCAGCTTGACAATTTCTGCAAAAAAAGAAAACTGAGATTTTAATAGGGATTGTATTGAATCTTTAGACCAATTTGGACAGTTATTACCATCTTAACAATGTTTAATCTTCCAATCCATGAACATGAGATATCGTTCCATTTATTTAGGTCTTCTTTAATTTCTTTCAGCAGTGTTTAATAGTTTACAACATAGAAGCCTTGCATTATTTTACTAAAATTATTCCTAAGTATTTGATTCTTCTTGATGTTATTGTGAGTAGAATCGTTTTCTTAATTTCATTGATGAATTGCTCATTGCTAGTGTATAGAAATAGAATTAGTTTTTGTTTGTTGATCTTGTTTCCTGCAACCTTGCTGAACTTGTTTATTAGCTCTAATAGTCTTTTACTGAATTCCTTAGGCTTTTTTATATACAAGATTATGTTATGATTTATTTTAAGTAACTGACTCATACAGTTGTAGGGGCTGGCAAGTCCAAAATCTGTAGGTTCA